AGATCTATTTTTTCAGTCTACCTTCATTAAAAATTAGTGTTTTTAACACAGCCATGGCACTCTGGATTGAGATTTAAAATACATTTTTTTATTAAGCAAGAATGTCAAAAGTTGACATATGATACGTCATTCTATTTAGAATATCATTTCCTATCGAATAAAGTAAAAATATACAGGGGGTGCCATTTAAAAATCAAAAGTAGTAGTCATTTCCGGTGAAACAGGAAGTGACCAAAAACATTGAATACGCCAATCAATCCCGATTTATGTCATATACTAATATACCAAATCTCGTTTTTTTATCTGAAAAAGTAAAAAAGTTATAGGGGTGAGCCACTTTTGAGACGCACCCGGTATATATGTTTTTCTCTGCAAGATACATAGACCATACATGCATGAAAAAACTGGCTTCTAAATGCCACTAGTCTACTCGGACACCCAACAATGTAGCCGCTTGTTGTCTCTTAATTACATGATTTTCAATACTTAGCTAAACTAAAGACGTTTATTTTAAAGTTTGATTGTTACTTGGTTTATTTTGTTAGAACGTTCTTAATAGCAAAGATACGGATTTCAGTGAAAATGTAAATCTAATACTTTATCATAATTGTTTGACAAATTGTAGCTAAAGTACAAGAAAAAATATAAATTAGTTAATTCTAAGTGAATTCTCTTAACTTACGGATGGAACAGAAAGATTTGACCAAAGTAAGAGAGGAATACAGCCACAATTAGGTCAAGGATTCCGATTCAATATCTAAGTAATAAGTAATTATTACTAATATATCTTATATTTTTATAAACAAAATATAACATTTGTATCCAAAAAGATTTGACTAACGTTCACTTTGAATAAAATGCAGTGAGAATTAAGATCTAGTAGCTTATCGAAAGTTTTTTTTATTAATGTATCTCATATTTTTATTAACAAAAATATTTGAAAATACTTAAACCTAACCTATTACAATTTGGCAACATTCGAAACCTTAGGCTCTTAGTAGTGCTCTTATGTGCTTTGAATACCGGCGTGTTTGTGGGGTTCGCCCTGTGACACCTGTGACACCGGCGGATACCAGGTGAGTAAGGTAACTCAAAGAAATAAATTAGTATTACTTATTTTTACATGTCTGATTTTTACAAATGTTATTAAGACAGTTATTATAAAGTTATATTTAAGCTTGATTTTCATGCATCCGTTGTCCGACGATACGTTGATACGATATTAATTTTATTGGTAGAACTTAAAGACTTTGATTGGCTAGAAAATAACGCAGTTTTTAAATTTATTGCATTTTCATGGCTCCGTTTATGGGATATACGTTGGTGTATGGTGTGGTATTTTATATTTTCATTTCCATAACGATTTTGCTATTTTACTTCTTTGAATAAGAAAATTAAGGAAGGAGCATAATGTTATCCATGTATTCATGCATGGTGGGCGGAAAAAGGACTCTAGGGTGGGGATCCTTGACACTTCTGTTTGACGATTCATTTGACACATTTGAATCTGATTTGAAATTTTGTGGATTTGTCAAAACAAATTATTTATTTAGAAGATGTTTTTTTTTGTTGTTGATTAAATATAACGGAGCTTATTTTATGTTATTTATTATTTATTCTACTAGTTGTATAAAGGTAGTAAATCTAGATGGAAATTGTGGCAGAACTTAAATTAACAGTGACACTATCGCGATTTATCGAAAAAGACTCTAAAATAGTTGGTTGTGTAGCGTGCGGTAGATCTCGGCAAAAATCGAGTGAAATAATGGAACAACTTTTCGCTAGTAAGTGACTATATAATATACGAGTACATACGTGTAGTAAACCGATCATTTATGAAATTCACTTAAATTAACTAATTATATATTTTTTCTTGCATCTTTACTTTTATTTACTACTTGTCAAAGATTAGATGTCAAAGAATTTAGATACGTCAATTTGACTTACCTGCTTCAGTAGCGTATCGGATGTTTATGGTTATAAACATTGCATTTTTATTTAAATAAGATGATTACATTTTTTATTAAAGTAATAATTAATAATAATTAAAGTAAATTAATTTATTGCGTATAAACTACTTAAAACCATTATCGCATATTTTCTAAAAAAATATTAATTTGAATAACAAGACACCTTGAATTCTCTGACTTAAGTTTTTAAATAGTTTGGATACTGTAAAAGGAAATATTGGAAAATAAGCCTGGGGGTGACATGCAGTTCTTTGTTGGCCGACTATTTAGTTGCTGATTTGTAACCAATATAATTCTTATGGAGCCGCGCTCACATGCAATCAAATAGTCGGCCAATCGGCTCCATAAGTATGTATTGTTTTCACTTTTACAACTAATCTTATTTAAATAGAGATGCAAAAATATTAAATCGAAAGCAGTAAGTTTTTTTAAAATATTTAAATACTTTACTCGGAAACGCATATAGGGAAATTAAAATAACTTTGGTTGCACATACGACCACCAGCAAACCCCATAAGACGACGCCTGGTGTCATTGATGACGTGCCTCAAAGTTGTTTTAATTTTCCTATAGTTCTCCCGCGCTCATAGTCACGGCTGAATAATTTTTGTGTTTAGAAGATGTTTGGTCATTACAATCTGTCTGACTGATTAAATATAACTTTATAATAGCTGTCTTAAATATAACTTTATAATAACATGTGTAAAAATCACACATGTAAAAATAAGTAAAGTTTATTTATTTCTTTTAGTTACCTTTCTCACCTGGTATCTGCCGAGGTGTCACAGGGCGAACCCCTCAAACATGCCGGTATTCAAAGCACATGAGAGCACTACTGAGTGCCTAAGGATTCATCCTTGTGAAAATAAGTTATGTCTGATCGCTCTGGGATTTTACTTTATCATCTTGGCATTTTGTAACATGTCCTTGTACAAATAATTTGAATAATTTCAATTTTTATGACCTTTTAAAAAAATCACCAAAATCGATCCAATGGAATCTGGAATAATATACCGGGTGTTGCATCGTCGGACGGGACATAGGAAATCCCATGTAAATTTTAATGGGGTCAATTATTGACTTCCCTAATTATTTTAGACAATAATTCTATTTAGGTTTATTGAAGAGCACTAAAACCCACATTCAAAAGAATAACCTTAGATATTTTTGATTAGCTCGTTTACGAGTTATCGCCGATTTCTTTTTAAATATTTCTCCTTTCTTATGGCCCTGTATTTACTTATGAGCAGCAGTCAAGGTAAAAGATAACTGTCAAATGAAGTTGTCATTTCAGAAATTTACCTATTTAGTGCTTTATTATTATTGAAAACTCATTCCTACATCGGAAATCTTAAAGATGTATTTCTAAATACAAATTAATATGAATTAAAGTAAAATAAAGTAATCAATTACAAGGTTAATTATATTATTATTACAATATTCAATAACTTATTAATTTAGGTACTATTAAATTGATAGAACTTTAGGATTTAAGAAGATGTTGAAATAATTTTCCAGCGACTGCTAGACAATTCTCTTCTTACATTCGCTAGTTGGTAAACTGAAATTCTATTGCATTCGGCAGAAATAGCATTTTTTAACTCTTCTAGATTTGGGTGTTTTTTACCTTGTATATCCTGTTATTTAAATGGCCCCAGAGAAAAAAAATCATTTGGCGAAATATCAGGAGACCTTGCTGGCCAATTTACTGTATGATTTAGGCCAATAACGTTTCCGTTAAAACTATTGTCTAAATATTCCCGAACAGCCAGGGTACTATGTGCCGGGCAGCCATCCATTTGGGACCAAACTTCCTGATTTTCCCTAGCGGCATTATGTAAAGCAGGTAAAATATTTTCGAGTAGTTCCAAATAATATTCTGCATTTAAATTTCGCGTAAGAAATAATGGCCCGATAATATTGTGTCCGAATATCCCTGCCCAAACATTTACTTTCTGTGGATATTGCGTCCTTGTTTCGACAAACCTGTGTTGGTTTTCTTTGTTCCAATATCGATAATTTTGAACATTGGGTTCATTATTTAAGGTAAACGTGCATTCGTCAGTGAAACATATGTTTTTTAAAAATTCCCTATCCGTGTTTGCTCTTTCCATCATATCAAAACAAAACGCCTGCCGCCGTATTTCGTCCCCATCTCGTAGCTCTTGGTGCTTTTCATATTTGAAGGAATAGTATTTATGTCGTTTCAAAATTCGAAACGCTGTAGTGTGATCTATTCCTATTTCATCCTCAAGTTTCCTTGTGCTGATCTTTCCATCGTTCTCTTCCACGCACAATAAAACTTCCAAGTCGGTATCATTTCTTGCATCTTCTCTTTGTTCCTGCCTTGCTTCACATCTGCAGTTATTTATTAGGGTACCTTTGGTCTCAAATCTCTGGATATTCCTTGCGATTGTAGATTTTCCAGGTATCGGTCTATTCGGATACAGAGCAGCAAACATGTCCGACACCTTTTGATAACTATTTCCTTGATAATACCATTTAATCATCAATACTTTTTCTTCGGTAGTGTAATTCATGGCTAATATTTTCGATGTAGGTATGAGTTTTTAATAATAATAATAATAAAGCACTAAATAGATAAATTTCTGAAATGACAACTTCATTTGACAGTTATCTTTTACCTTGACTGGTGCTCATAAGTAAATACAGGGCCATAAAAAAGGAGTAATATTTAAAAAGAAATCAGCGATAACTCGTAAACGAGCTAATCAAAAATATCTAAAGTTATTCTTTTGAATGTGGGTTTTAGTGCTCTTCAAGAAACCTAAATATAATTATTCTCTAAAATAATTAGGGAAGTCAATAATTGACCCCATTAAAGTTTACATGGGATTTCCTATGTCCCGTCCGACGATGCAACACCCGGTATAGGTATACAAGTTTAAAATAAAATGAAAATTTTAGGTTGGTGGTTTTTCGTCAGTATATGTATGTGTATGTCAGAGCTCATACCGAAACTAGCCACACCACTATTTTGCGTCAACTTAAACCATAAATTCCACTTACGTTTTCCGTAATGTTATATTTGGGCGGTCTCAATTCCCTTCTCATTTCCAATATCGACCAAGTTATATTGGCCGGCGGCCTCGAACCGAATGTTTGACAAGGAATTTCGTATTTCCGATCGGCGCTGAACGGCTGATTGCTGCTCAGGATCTCCACGTCCAAAGGCCGAACTGAAACAAAAGGAAACATTACTGACTTATTACTGAAATAGTCCGATAATATCAAACGGATTGAGTAACAAATTTGGTAATGCAATTGAGGTTGGAACATTTGAAGTAACAACAGGAAAATAAAACATAAACAGCTATACTAAGGTCGGCATATCAGATCTTTGGTGCCGAGTTTATGGCTTATAGTTGATAGATTTATACACAGTATGATAAAAAATTCATGAAAATAGGGCTGAAGGTAAGAAAAATTATAACACTTTAAACTTGAATTTCTTTTGCGTTTTTTTGCATTTGAGTGTAATATGTAATAAATAATGAAGATAATACAAATAACAAATGCGCTCTAAAGTTATAAATCGTTTTCCAGGTTTCTAAATCTCCCAAAATAAATTAATATCTGATTGGAGAAAGGAACACTCGTTCACCGTTGAATAATTTTCCGTCGCTCTTTTATTACAGCTTTAATTAAAATGAAATTAATCAACAGACGGAAGCTTTCAAAAAAGACGGAAATCGTTAAGCTGATTCTATAATTACAATAGTAATATCAGGTAAGGTAGTCTATATTTAGAAAGGTATATAACGAATAACACGAAATAAAATGGGATTATAAACGACAGACACTATTTGAGATTAGTAATTATACAAAATATTTAAAATATTCTGTGTGTAGGCGCCTTAACGCCTACACACAGAACGATTGATTTACGTGATTGTTGTGTAATTGATTGAGGTGTACGTGTACGTCAAAAAAAAATCGCAAACGAAAACACGCGCAAATGTTTGCAAGTGTTGGTAAGGGTTCCGCTCGGTGTCGCTACTTGGCAGGTTCAGCGTTTTATTGAAGTTTTCGGTTGTTTTTGGGGATATGCGATGGCAAACTTTTAATGCCATGGTATAAAATTTATAAAAAAAATTAACTGAGACCACGAACGTTGTTTGGCATTTGTGGATATGTATAAATCAAAACCACAATTGTGGAATACTTTAACACGGTTACACAGGGTTATACTACATAAAAAATACTTTTTCTTAAAAATGTGAATTCTCTACAATACACCAAAACACTTTACTACGAAACTAATCAGTTTTAATCATCTATTAATGATACTAAAATGAATAGCGACAACACCCATCCAGTGCAAAAGTATCGTGTTTTGGTGTCTTGTAGTGTTTTATTAGACACTAGGACTTGGATAAATGAAATAGTTAAAGGAAGTTGCACATCTGGAAACACTAAATTAAAGTCCAAAACTTGGATGTCGAATAATACGATCAATTTGCTTGAAAAAAGAAGAAACCTAGTCATATCAACAACATTTGACAAAGAACACAAACTAAGAAACATCAATAAAAAAATAAAAAACAGCTGTAGACAGGATAAAAACACGCACGTCCACGAGATTTGCACAGCATTGGAAAGACACTCGGCAACTAACGAATCTAGAGAGCTATTCAATAAGGTAAAATATCTCTCTCGTGAGTTTCAACTACGTACACAAATTATACAGGATGAAAATGGTCGAAAGATTACTGATCCGGATGGTATTGCTGAAGTCTGGCGAAAGTACTGCACAAAGCTTTACGAAGATGGTGAATCTTCTAATAATATTAATCGTCCCAACCAATTCGAACATGAACCGGAGATCCTTAAATCAGAAGTTGAACACGCCCTAAATCGTCTCAAAAAAAATAAAGCCCCAGGTATAGATGGTGTAGCTGCTGAGATATTAAAGTCAATAGGGCAACCGGTAATTGATGTTATTCATTTCATATGCAATCTGATTTGGAAGACGGGAATTTGGCCAGACGACTGGTGCAGCTCGCTATATATACCACTATATAAAAAGGGTAATCCGGCAGACTGCAATAACTATCGAATGATTGCTTTAATTCCTCATGCATGCAAAATTCTCCTGCAGATTATTAACAACAGACTCAGGCCATATCTACTACCACAGATTGCAGAAGAACAAACTGGCTTTATGCCTGGTAAGGGTACCAGAGAACAGATAGGGAACGTACGACAGTTAATAGAAAAAGCGCGAGAATTCAACATAGAAATGTATCTCTGTTTTATCGACTATTCTAAGGCCTTCGATCTAGTCAAGTGGCAAAAACTTTGGCAAATACTCAAGGAAATGGGGGTTCCTGATCACCTTATTCTACTTATCCGACAACTATACCAACATAATTACGGACTTATAAGAATTAATGATGTCACATCAAATAGATTTCAAGCAATGAAGGGTGTCAGGCAGGGGTGTGTTCTCTCACCCCTATTGTTCAATATTTATACCGAGTACATAATGCGTGATATTCTCGATAACTGGCAAGGTGGAGTATCTGTGGGGGGAAGGAAAATCAATAATCTAAGATATGCCGACGATACACTAATCATAACATCAAGTGTGGAAGAAATGGAATTTATTATGCAACGTCTCCAAGAAACTAGTACAGAATTTGGGCTAAAACTTAATCCTAACAAAACTACTGTCATGATTGTGGACCGACAAAACAACAACCAACCTCACGTGGGAAACATAGCTGGATTTAAGGTGGTTAATAAATACTTATATCTGGGATCGCTAATCGACAACAGCGGCTCATGCGAAGGCGAAATAAGACGTAGAATTGCGCTGGCTAGAACAGCCGTAACTAAATTAACTAAGATATGGAAGATACAGCCATCACTAAGAACACCAAACTAAGACTGCTGAACTCGCTTGTTTTCCCGATTGCTACGTATGGGCGCGGAAACATGGACGCTGAAGAAAAGCGATACCAGGCGAATAGATGCTTTTGAAATGTGGGCATATAGACGTCTGCTACGTATACCTTGGACAGCCCATCGTACGAATGAGTCAGTTCTCCAAGAACTAAACTCACAACTCAGACTCTCAAAAAATAAACCGATGTTTTCTGGACATATATTGGTCACATTGCTAGAAGAACGGACTCACTGCAGCTGCTAATAGTCGAGGGAAAGGTAGAGGGAAAGCGACCACGAGGAAGATCACCCAAGAGATGGGTTGATCAAACTAAAGACCTAATCGGCCAAGGCCTTCATGAAACCGTCAGCATGGCTCAAAACGGCTGATTGCTGCTCAGGATCTCCACGTCCAAAGGCCGAACTGAAACAAAAGGAAACATTACTGACTTATTACTGAAATAGTCCGATAATATCAAACGGATTGAGTAACAAATTTGGTAATGCAATTGAGGTTGGAACATTTGAAGTAAAAACAGGAAAATAAAACATAAACAGCTATACTAAGGTCGGCATATCAGATCTTTGGTGCCGAGTTTATGGCTTAAAGTTGATTTATACACAGTATGATAAAAAATTCATGAAGATAGGGCTGAAGGTAAGAAAAATTATAACACTTTAAACTTGAATTTCTTTTGCGTTTTTTTGCATTTGAGTGTAATATGTAATAAATAATGAAGATAATACAAATAAAACAAATGCGCTCTAAAGTTATAAATCGTTTTCCAGATTTCTACATCTCCAAAAATAAATTAATTCTGATTAGAGAAAGGAACACTCGTTCACCGTTGAATAATTTTCCGTCTCTCTTTTATTACAGCTTTAATTAAAATGTAATTAATCAACAGACGGAAGCTTTCAAAAAAGACGGAAATCGTTAAGCTGTTTCTGTAATTACAATAGTAATATCAGGTAAGGTAGTCTATATTTAGAAAGGTATATAACGAATAACACGAAATAAAATGGGATTATAAACGACAGACACTATTTGAGATTAGTAATTATACAAAATATTTAAAATATTCTGTGTGCAGGCGCCTTAACGCCTACCCACAGAACGATTGATTTACGTGATTGTTGTGAAATTGATTGATGTGTACGTGTACGTCAAAAAAAATCGCAAACGAAAACACGCTCAAATGTTTGTAAGTGTTTGTAAGGGTTCCGCTCGGTGTGGCTACTTGGCAGGTTCAGCGTTTTATTGAAGTTTTCGGTTGTTTATGGTGAAGATGCGATGGCAAACTTTTAATGACATGGGATATGTTACTATTTCGTTTTTAAAGTTTGTAAAAAAAATTAACTGAGACCACGAACGTTGTTTGGCATTTGTGGATATGTATAAATCAAAACCACAATTGTGGAATACTTTAACACGGTTACACGGGTTATACTACATAAAAAATACTTTTTCTTAAAAATGTGAATTCTCTACAATACACCAAAACACTTTACTACGAAACTAATCAGTTTTAATCATCTATTAATGATACTAAAATGAATAGCGAGAACACCCATCCAGTGCAAAAGTATCGTGTTTTGGTCTCTTGTAGTGTTTTGTTTTGCTGTTGTAACATCAAAGGTACCAACCCCCAACTGTAATTAAAAATGTTGCTTAAATAATATACAGCTATTTGTTTTTATCCCTGATAAAGGTTTCAGTATAATTTTTTAAAAAATTAATAATTTAAGAGTCATCAACAGAAAAATTGACTTTTTATTTCGAACACCTTGTATATTTTTAATTCACTAACAAGAACTTAAAGTTACCTTTCCAAAAATATAACACACATATATTTTGTTCAAGTTCCCTTCGAAACACAGCATTTTCGTCGTCAAAAGCTCGTCCCTTATTGATGATCTGCCCCTAATGGAACTCGAAAACATATTTTTCCAGCAAGACGAGGCACCGCCTCAGAACGCTGAAACTATCAGCAAATTTTTGCAGCCAATTTCGAGGATAGTTGAATAGCTAACCAAGATCCCAGTCGTTGGCCGTCGAGGCCGCCGGACTTAGTGCCTGTTATCCTTAGTGGATTTTTATCTTTGCGGAAGAATAAAGGTTCTTATTTTTAAATTGCCCGTATAATCTAGACAAGAATTAGAAGTACTTAGCTAGGTTATCTAACTAGGTTATGCGAGGGTAGTAGTAGTTCTGTATCTTTTATTGCTAATATTATTTTCGTTTTAATTGTTGCTGACAGTTACCGGTAAGCATTTTTCTGCATTATGA